GGCCAAGTAAAACCCACCGGCATTAATGACAAACCTAAATTTACTGTGAAATCTACTGAAGTTAAAGAACACGAAAAGCCTACCGGCGCTAAGGGCCAAGTAAAACCCACCGGAATTAAAGACAAACCTAAGTTTAATGTAAAATCTACTGAAGCTAAAGAATACGAAAAGCCCACCGGTGCTAAAGGCCAAGTAAAACCTACCAGCATTAATGACAAAGGTAATTTTCGTGTAAAGCCCACCGAAGCTAAAGACCAAGAAAAACCCACCGGTGCTAAAGGCAAAGCAAAGCCCACCGAAGCTAAAGATCAAGAAAAACCCACCGGTGCTAAAGGCAAAGCAAAGCCCACCGGTATCAAAGCCGAAGATAAACCTCATGTAATGCCCATAGATAATAAGGACCAAGGAAAACCCACCAGCGCTAAAGGCAAAGCCAAGCCCACCGGTATCAAAGACGAAGATAAATCTCGTGTAATGTCCATCGACGACAAAGACAAAGAAAAACCCAACGGCGTTAAAGGTGGAACAAAGCCTACTGAAGCTAAACATTTTTTAGTAGAAGCTGATGTTAAAGCAGGTCGCAGATAAATAATCATAATAATACAATGAAGGTTGTAAAACTTTAAAATAATTCTGTAGCAATCTTTCATGATTAACAAATATAACAAATAGAATAGTGTAATATCAACTTTATTTTATATTTTTAAATGTAATTAAGACTAACTTTGAAGTAATGTTTTAATTAAAATTTCCTTTGGCATTCTTAAATATTTATAATATTTTGACCGTCTTATTTTGCAATATATGAGAATGCAATGTGAACTAGATTATAACAATTTTTTTTTACCTTCATTAGATACTATCCATTCATGTTTTTGAAAAATTGCTACAAATCATAATTTAATAATAAATCACAAAATTATATTTTCGTAAAAAATTTGTCATGATCAAGATACTTAATAGCTTAATAAAGATGCATTTTACGCTTTAAAGCAAAAAATTTTAAATTACGCCAATATGTACGTAAATTTGAATATCAAGAATATGCTTTATTAAATATACGTATGTGAACTTACAGTAGTATTTAACCAAAATTTAATTCAATATTGATTATTTTTAAAAAAATTATACTGATTGAGAAACGACCTATATTATTTTTTTAATGATACACTTCATATAAAAAACTGTTCAGTAAATATGAACAAAAGCTTTTGGTAATAATTCGGTCACCAGCCTTCGCTAGTTCTTCTTTTAAACAATTTTTGTTACAACAAAGTTCATAACAAAAAATAGGGGTAGCCTGATTGGAAAGGTCTTTTGTAACTGCATTTTCTATTTTAAGGGCCAGTTGATTCCCGCTAAGAATTAAGACTATTAGAGTGGTGTTTTTATTAAGGGAATCTATTAGTGACTTTCCTCCTTCAAATTTAAGATTATTATTACCAATGTCTAAAAAAGTCAAGGTGCTATTCATACAAAGGGCTTCTGCTATCGCCTTTCCTCCTTCATGGCCAATCTTATTACCATTAAGATTGAGATGTGTTATGGTATTATTTTTGCAAAAAGTCTCTGCAAATGCTTTTCCCTCTTCAGAGCCGAAACGATTATTGTATAGTTCTAAAACCATCAAAATATTATTTTTGCAAAGAGCTTTTGCTAATGCTTTTCCACCCTCAGGACCAAGTTGATTAAAACCGAGGTTTAAATGGGTCAATTTAATGTTTTTACAAAGAGCTTCGGCGAAAATTTTTGCACCTTCAGGGCCAAGATTATTATTACTAAGATCCAAAGAAGTTAAGGCGTTATTTATATAAAGAGCTTCTGTTAATACTTTTGCAGCTTCATGGTCAAGTTTGTTACGACTAAGATCTAAGGAAGTCAAGGTATTATTTTGATAAAGAGCCTTCGCTATTTCTCTTACTCCTTCAGAACCAAGTTTATTCCAAGCAAGATTCAACGAAGTCAAAGTGCAATTACCGCAAAGAATCTTTGCTATTATTTTTCCACCTTCAGAACCAAGTTCATTCCTAGTAAGATTTAAAGAAGTCAAAGTAGAATTTCTGCAAAGTGTTTTTACTAATGTTTTTACTTCTTCACAAATAAGTATGTTGCAAGTAATGTCCAAGGCGGTTAAATTCTTATTTGTACAGAGTACTTCCATCAATGATTTTCTTATTCCTGAATTAAAGTTATTGCGTTGAAGTTTTAGAGAAGTTATGTTGGTGTTTGTATTAAGAATTTCAATTATCTCGTTATCGATAGATCCATAAATTTTTAAAATTTTAAGTTTGTTACATTTTCGTAAAAACATTTTAATCAACGAAAGTCTAACATTATGAACCATAGGAATCATTCCATAAGAATAAATTAGATAATACGAAAGAGGACGAAGCCATTTTTTGATACTCGAATATAAATTGTAGCCTTCAATAGAGGTAGTATAAGCTGTATATTCAAATAATGGCTTTGAAAATTTTGGAAGTTTTATATTTAAAGGAATAAATCGTTTTTGTTCTTCAATATTTAATGATAAAAAATACATCATTATAATCTTTTCATTAATTAAATAATCCAGTGGTTTGCTCCATAATAATGGTACTGCCATTCTACACCATTTTCGATTTACAAGAAGGCATGAAAATAAACTTCCACGATATTTCGTAAGGTCACTGAAGTTTTTAAATATTTCATAAAGGCATTCATTCGGTAGTTGCTCAATCATTTTAAAGTGTAAAGTTTATGAGGTACAGCAAAAATTACATTAAATACATAAGTATGTATGTACGTACGTGTTACAACCTTTTACTGTAAAAGTAACACAAGCACAATCATAGTTTAATTAGTCATTGTTGAATCTTGGAATCACATGAACAAAATACACAATACAAGGAATGGAGTTTTACGAAAATGGAACAAAGATTAAGATTTATAAAACAATACATAAGTGACGCCCAGATTTCAGCTTTTAAACTTCTGGATTCGTCATTAAAAATAGAATCCAGCAAATTTTAAAAGCCCAAAGTCTTGTTTTCCTATGCGTCATTTTGTAACTTGTCAATTTTCAATTTTAGTTCGACGTTAATTTGCTATTTAACACATTATAAGTAGCAAAAAATTGGTTTATTTATACGTATGATTCTAATGAAATTTCAAAAAAGTCATTGAACTTGAAATAATAAATAAAAGTAATCCTAATAAATTAAAATTTAAATGAAAATTGATCTAAGGATATAATGCCAGTTGGCTATATATAACGAAAACTGTGATCATGTTAATTCATTTTATTAATTAGGTGATTGAGATTCTTTGAAGAGTGTTTTAATTTTGAGTAGTCAGATCCAGTTCTGTTGCAAATCTCATTCGTTAATTCCAGCTGTTTTTATAAATTTTGGGCCAACAGAAAAATTCCGATGACTGAATTGATAAGTTACAGAGTTGGAATTAGGGTTGTTAACTTACATGTAAATTTACTGTATGTAAATTTATTGTAACTGACGTAAATTACCTTGTAAGTTATGT